ACGCGTTTCAACTTACCTGTCAGGTACCCAATTCCACATGTAGTTTCCAGAAACTATTCTGTTTCAAATGTTGATGTCCATAACCGACAACTACCCTGTGTTTATGTCTATAGTCCTTTTCATTGCTGATCTAATTGAGATTTTCTATAACTCGCACCAAGAAATAGTAGTCTTCAGGCTAAAGAATCTATAACCTTTCTGATGCTTCATTGCTGCTGATCTAATATGAGATAAAATCCTGCTCTTTTTTTGTAGAATATGCCTAGGTTTCTGGGTTTAATATACTATAAATATGAGACACCCACATATATCTTTGGTATACAAAGTAGGAAGCAGACATTTATGTTTGTATCTAGGGAACACAGAAATAAACAACATAGATGCAAAGTAAAAAAGCCTTCAACCCCATCTTTCTTCTGATTTATGATTAAACATTTGTGTCAAATATATATGTACAGGCCTCTTTTTTCCTGCCTTGATACATGTTCTCCATCTATACTCCCCACTCTTCTTCCATGACCCATCACAGCTGCTTCTGCTGTTTCTCTTCGGGATATCTGAGTTCTCTTTATAGCTCTTCCATTAATAAATCTAAGTGACCACACAATATATCTAAGGGTTATGTTTTTGATCTATTAAACTGAGATGAGAGTTGAACTAGGAATAATCTATAAGGTCCCACACTGAACCAACTACAAATCTTGTTTGTATGTATGAGATTTCATGAATTCAGCCAGAATTTTCTTCTAGAATTAACAAACCTATAATTTGGCTGAAGCATAATACAATATGCCTATTCTCTCTAAGGATTCAGGTAAATTATCCATTTTATATAATTATGTGATCATCATTGTTGTTTGAAGATCCATGACATAGAAAGTATTTAAATCATGACAATGTTTAATAATTGTTTGTATTTAATGTTCACCAGCAGCAATATATCGCTTTATTAAACTAGAGATAATCAATACTAGAGCAACAATTTAAAGTTGAGATTCTTTGAGAAAACATTTGAAAGATAACCAATTTATCAGCATGATTGCTTTATATCTTTTTGCTTGGTTACGAGTGTTAAAAAAATCAACACAGCGTTACTTAGCAAACATTAAAAATACATATATTTATATGTACATATACAACTATATATATACACAATATTATACTGTATGAAACCAATACATTTATTGAAAATATAGAAAAATTAATAAGTGGGTAATTGAAAATTTTTAGAAGTGTATTTGTCGTTTATATATTTGTATGTTAACCAGTGCACACAGATGCTATATTTTGATTTGTTTCCTAGTAATAGTCTCCCTACATATGTTGATTATTTTACACAAATTTAGCGTGAGGGTATCTGAAAATCTGCTGCTCAATAAAAGCAATCAGAACACTGGTAAAACCTGTCAACATCAATTTTCAGAACTTGGAAAATTAACCAAAGGCTTGCAACAATCTGAAGAAGATTTATTCAAGAAAAATGGGAAAATCTCAGTAAGAAGAGTGAGCTTTGTGACATTTTGATTTACCTTATTTCCATCACCTTCTCCTCAGCATTACAGAAGCCTTGAAAATCAACTACCTTGAAGTCACAGTAGCCAAGATGTGACTGATAGAATAATGGTCCCCAATGATGTGCATATCGCAATCCCCCAAAGCTATAATTACTTTGTCCTAAATGACAAAAGTAACTGTGCATGTGTGATTAAGTTAAGGCTCCTAATATGGAGAAATTATCTTGTATTATCTATGAGGCCTTGATATAATCACAGGTATCCTTACAGGATGAAGGCAGAAAGTAAAAGAGGGAAGGAGACACTATGCTGCTGACTGTGAAGATGGAGGAAGGGGGCCACAACCAAGGGATGCAGGCAGTCTCTGGAAGATGGATAAGGCCACAAAACAAAACAAAACAAAACCTGCAACAAAACATAGTTTTTCTTTCCTTAGAGGCCCTAGAAAGAACAGAGTCCTGCTGATTCAATTTAGATTTCTTAACTTCATAACTGTAATATCATACCTGTGTTGTTTTAAGCCACTAAGTATGTAGTGTAGTGATGTGTTATAGCAGCAATAGGAAATGAATACAGGTTTTGTTACCTGGAAGTGGGACATTGTTTGCTGTAGCAAGTATCTAAAAATACATAAGTCGCTTTGTAATTGTGTAACGGGTTAAAGCTGGAAGAACTTTGAGGAGCATAATGGAACATTCCTGGATTACTTTACAAGACTGTTAGTGGAATTATATTTATTAACAGTATTGTATGTGAGAGATCAGAAGGAAGGTACAGGAAACATGAACAAACTGTATTCTTCTCATATAATGATAGAATGCTTAGCTGAACTGTGTCATAATGTTATTTTGAAAGATAAATTTTATTTTTAGTTGAAATTCCAAGCAAAGTGTTGAAATTGTGGTTTGGTTTCTTCCTTTTGCTTATAGCACAATGTGGGGGATAAAAAAAGAAGAGAGAGAGAAAAAAAAATCTTGAGAGAATATTAAGCAAAAAGGAATCAGGACTTGATGATTTAGAAGATTTTCATCTTATCCAGATTGCACAAGACACTAAAATGAGCACATTCAATGTCAGGAAACTGTGCTCTGGAGAGAAGGCAAAGGGAGTGGCTGGACAATCTTCTGCTAGTGCTTCTGAAGTAGCAACATTTCAGAGTATTCAATCACACAAAGGACTCTTTGAAGAGTTTAGGTGCGTGACTTTTGGATCTAAGCAGAAACCAGGAAGGGAGTTGGCATTATGAAGGAAATATCAATGGAGGAGCAAATGACAGGGAAAGGAAGAAATAAAATAAATTCACTAGAATTGCAAATGAAAACTGCCTAATAATATTACTCAGCTGAAAACACATGCGTCCCCTTAAGAAAAATGAAGAATGATTCTGAGAGCAGAGCTGCAGGACAAGAGGGCAGAATCCTGAAGCCAGAAGGTGACACTGACAGCCACAGAGGATTATTTCAAGTCCTCAAAACCTAATAGAACCTCATATGCTGGATTTCAAAATTATTTGGGTTAATGATTCCTTTTTTCATTCTATATTCTCCCTCTTTGAACAGAAATACCTCTAACAGGGAAACTATGCCTGTCCCTACCAGTGTGTTATGAAAAGAGTAACATGTGTTCTTGTTTTACAAGTCAAAGTATGAAGATAAATTTTTACCCATAATGGATCATATCCACAGTCACAACTGATACAAGATTTACATGGTGAGATTTGGGATGTTTAAGCTGATGAGGTTTATTTGAGATTTTGGACTTAAGTAGATACTGGAAAGTGTTGAGATTTTGGAGATTTGATATGGGGTTTGTATGCTTTGCATGTGGGATAACTGTTCCTTTGGGGGAACCGAAAGAGAACTATTGTAGATGAAACAATGGTTCCCCAACATACCTATATCATAGTCCAGAGAGCCAATAGATATATTACCTAGATGAAAAAAGGTATTTTTCAAACATAATTACATTAAGGATCTTAGGATCTTTTAACACAGGGCAAATTATCCTGTGTTATCTGAGTGGATCAAATGTCATTACAAGGCTCCTAATGAGAGAATACAAGATCAGAAGGTAAAACTAGAAAAGAGAAAGAAAAATGTAATTCCTACAGCCTCCAGAACAAAGGCAACCCTGAGGACCCATCACAGACTTCTGACCACCAGAAATTGTAAAGCAATACATTTGTGCTGATTTTTTAAAATTGATACTTAATATTTTACATATTTAGGTGGTACATGTGAGTATTTGTTAAATGCGGAGAATGTGCAATGATAAAGTTCAGGGTATTTGGAATTATCCATCACCCTGAATATTTATCATTTCTTTATGTAGAAAATATTTCAAATCCTCTCTTGTAACTACTTTGAAATATACAACACATGTTGCTGACTAAAGTCAGCCAGCTTTCCTTTTGAACATTAGAACCTGTAAAATGGAGTAGCCACTTTGGAAAACATTTAGCAGTTTCTCATAAATTTAAACACACAGTTGCTATCTGACCCATCTAAAATAGTAACAATAGTAACTCTTAAGTTTGTATCATCCTCTCTTTTGCTAGGATTCTTTCTTTACTCCTCTTTACCTCGCCTCTTATTTCATAGTCAATATTTTTGGAATGCAAACCTGCTATTTAAAATTTACTCTTGTTTTTGGCAGTAAACATTTTTCAAAAGTATGTTTTCTTCTTTGTCATTATTTATATTTGTCTCTTGTCTACATGTTGTGGCCTCAGTTAAAAGTTCAATTTTTTTTCTCTTATATCTATTTGAGAGTAGCTCATATAATATTTGCCATAAAATAATGTAAGTTCTGCAATATTTTCAATGTATTTATAGGCACTGTTAAAATCCTCCCCTTAAATTTTGAGCTGGAAACAGGGTTTGTAGATGGATTTATTTTATAGGTTTTATTCTGAGCAACGTAAGGAAAACACAGAGAATAACAAAATCCTAATTAGGGCCAATTAGAAAATTTGGCTCCTTAGAGATTCGTTCTAATTTTGTTAGAATCGTGGTGCTGGAGACAGAGATCTACTCAAACCTCATTTTAAGATGATTTATCTTGTCTTTACTTGGGACAAAATGTTTTCATGTTCACCAATGCTCATTCTTCAAGATTGGTGTGGGTAAAATCCAGTCATTTTCAAAAGATTCTGAAACATAAAGATTTAATTTTGTTTAAATAGATTAAAGTCACATGGGAATATCAATTTGCACTCAGTTTATCATGACTGTATTAACTGGTACTTGTACTCCTAAAATTCCTTTTTGGTACTTGATAAGAGATAGACTTCAACATATATTAAAAACAATTTACAAAATAAGAGATGAATCATGTTTACACCATTAAATGTAGAAAAGCTAAAACTGTAGTTGTATATTCCTGTCTCTAACCAGGTTAATATATTTTGATAATGTTAGATGTTAAATATAAAAGGCTAAATATTTTCAATTTGTCATACTCTAAAGCACTTACATAATCCAGATTATGGCTATTTATGACCTACGACCCTGGTTGTCTACACCAGAGACAATAACCAGCTGTCCACCTGGATTGGAGTATTTGTATCAGGTATGGCAATGTGTTTCTCAACTTATTTGATCCACAATAACATGAATTTAGATCGTTTCAGAATATAATATGTTATAAACATTTTTGACTATAGATTAAAATACTATGAACTTAACACTAAGATTTTTGTATTTTATTTACATTTAAATTTTTATTTTTGATTGAGATAGTAAACTTACACTTTACATATTATAATATTGTTACTTACAAATTTATTTCCTAGGAATCTCATTTAAAAATAAATACCTACTTTTGGCCAGATGCAGTGGTTCATGCCTGTAATCCTAGCACTTTGGGAGGTTGAGACAGGTGGATCACGAGGTCAGGAGATCGAGACCATCCTGACTAACACGGTGAAACCCTGTCTTTACTAAAAATATAAAAAATTAGACAGGTATGGTCGTGGGCGCCTGTAGTCCCAGCTACTCGGGAAGCTGAGGCAGGAGAATGGGGTGAACCCAGGAGACGGAGGTTGCAGTGAGCCGAGAGCGCGCCACTGCACTCCAGCCTGGGTGACAGAGCAAGACTCCGTCTCAAAATATAAAATAAAGTAAATAAATAAATGCCTACTTTTAAAATAGGAAATTGTATTTTGAGAATGTAACTTATACTAACCTCGAGAATCCTCACTTCATCTATTGCTTGTGCATTAGAAGCCTGGTATGAAAATGTAAAATATAAACATTAATATTAGGAAAATGTCTCTTATTCTGTACTAGATTGAATACAATTAAATTAAAGCTTATGATGTCAATTCTGATTTAATTTCCTGTGATATTGTCTCTTGAATAATTAACTTTGACAATTTAGTTCTCTGTAATCGTTGGCCACATTTTATTTTGTAATACTTTAAAAATAAAATAGTATATATGTAACTTCTTGAAAAGGTTGTTTACATTTTCAATGCTTAATTATAAACTTGTCATAAATTATGATATAAATATAATAAAACCTTTTAACATTTGGGTAAAAATTATATTAAAATATTCTAATGATAGTGTAGATATTATCTGAATTTCAAAAATATTTACAATATGTATTTTAAATTTTTGTTAACCAAATTATTGAGTATGTTAACAATTGAGACAAGACAAAACACCTTATAGACTGTAATAATAATTTTTCATTTGCCTGTTCCACGGTGAAGTAAAATAAAATTTAATTTTAGATTACTATGATATACAAGACAAGTGACAGAAAAAATCAGAGATGTTGACAATGGATCGATTACTTTAAATATCCTAAATGTAAATAATAAGTTATCTGTTGATATGTGCTTTAAATGTAGTCTGAGTACTTCATAACCACCTTCTTTATTTTTACTCTAATAGGTAAATCAGTTAACAGTGTGCCAATATTTTGATCCTCTGGGAGGTATGTACCAAACACACTGATATATTAATTCTTGAAGTTATAACTTATTTTATTGTAGTTAGATCAACCCGCATAAATTAAAGTGTTTCTTAAGGAAACTAAACCTTGCAAACATGAAGAGAGTGTATAGAAGGTCGTTAGATAATGAGAAGGTAAATGCAGCAATAGTCTTCTCATGGGAAAGGAAAAAAATACTTTTTTTTCTTATACTTTACTTTCTCTTAAAGTAGATCCTTTCAGGATCATTCCTGCCCTTTTAGTATGCTAAACATAGGTGCAACTCCTGAAATGGTTTGCCCACCCTGATTTCTTCAAATACAGGTATTTTAGAGAAACAATAATTCTAAATTCTTCAGAAATTTTGTTAATAGAAGCAGAATGCAGGTAAGTTTCTGGATAGTCCAATTGTGCTCCCAAGTCTGAAAAATTAAACTGTCCTTTAGAATTTAACTGTTTACCTTTATCTCAACTTAGTATGAGTATTTCTTTTATGTGGATGAAACTAAAATGCATGGAAATGAGTATCTAGTTACAAAAAAAAATAGTACTATCATTGCCTTTCTTATGCGTTAGCGATTCTAAAACTAACATGGGCATTGATGATTTGTTTAACTCATGAAAGCTTTTCCATTTTGGCATGTTATAAAAGAATGCTTTCTTTGTTTTTTTTCTTGCTGAATTATACTAAATTGCTTTAATTTATGAAAGATCATTTACTACAGAAACACCATATGTTTTTACAACAAACAAGGCATATGATATTCATTTTGAGAGAATCAAGGAAGAGTCAGATCCAGGCTTGCACTGAAGAACTTCCTCTGAAATGTGAGGAATTAATATATTTGCTGTAGTTTCAATGTGTTCGCCAAAGTTCATGTGCTGGAAACTTAACCATCAATGTAATGGTGTTGACAGGTTGAACCTTTAAGAGGTGATTAAGTCATGAGGGCTCTGGCCTTATGCATGAATTAATGCCTTTATCTCAGGAGTGGGTTAGTTACTGTGGGAGTGGATTCCTGATAAAAGGATGCATCTGATCTCCTTCCTCCCCCTCTCTCTTACACCTTCTTAGCATGTGATGCCTTCCACTACCATATGATGGAGCAGGAAGGCTCTCACCAGGTGCCAGCCCCACCTTCTTGGACTTCACCGCCTCCAGAACTTTAGAAATAAATCTCTCTTCTTTATATATTACCCAGTCTGTGGTATTATTTTATTGAAATACCAAACAGACTAAGATAGAAAATTAATACCTGAAAATGTGGAAGCAGCTTTGGAACTGGGTCATGGGTAGAGGCTGGAAGAGTTTGGAGAAGGAAGCTAGAAAAAGGCTAGATTGCCATCAGTGGAAAATTAAGGGTGATTCTGGTGAGGACCCAGAAGAGAATAGCTATAAGGAAGTCTGAGACTTCTTAGAAATTACTTAAGTGACTATGATCAGAGCATTGGTAGAAAGATACACAGCAAAGGCAATTCTGATGAGTCATAGATAGAAATGAAAAACAAGGTGTTGCAAACTGGGGTGAAGGCCATACTTATTATACAATTGCTGAGAACTTGGCAGAGTTATGTCCATGCCCTTGAGCTTTAGGGAAGGTAGAATTTAAGTATAATGAATGAGGATATCTAGCAGAAGAAATTTCTATGCAAAATATTGAAGGAGCTGCATGATTAGTTTTCACCACTTTCAGTAAGATGCAAGAGGATAGAAATGACTTAAAATGGAATTTGTAACTAAAAGAGAAACAGAATGGAAAACTATGGAGATTTTGCAGAGTACCCATATAAAGAGTAAAAAGGTATGCTTAGGAGAGCAAACCAAAAGTGTAGCCAAGCAGTGGTTTGTTAAGGAGATTAGTAAAAATAGAAGGGAGCCAGGTACTATTCATCAAGACAATGGGAGAATGGCCTTGAAGGCATTTCAGAGAGCTTTGAGGCTTCCCCTCCCATCACAGGCCCAGAGTTCCAGGAGCACCAAATGTTTTTGGAAGATGGATCCAAACAACACTCCACAAGCTCACTGCTCAGGGCTGTCTTGGTTCTGTTAAATATAGTGAACTCCATGTTTCTCTTCAAAGAATCAGTATGTTAGTATGTTCAGCTCTCTTATTCTTTGTTCTCCATTTTAAAGTTTAACTTCCTGGTTCTCTTTGCCCTCTTGCTTCTAGTTTCAGTAAACAACTTTCCCGCCAGTTCTAATCAGTAGTTCACATCTGTTCCCCTGGTTACCTATTCCGTCCTGAGTCACCCCTGCTCACCTGCTCTGACCTGAATCATCCTGAGTCACCTGTTCTGTAACTGTCCTTCCTGACAAACTACTCACCCCACCACTCCAACTAACACCCTTGCTCTCTTTAAAATAGCCAAACAGAATTAGCTTAGACTGTGCAGTCCAACCCTAGCCAATAGGGGAATGACACAGCAGTAGGGGCTATCTGCATCAGGAATAAGAGCCTCTTCCTCTCCCTTGTTCAGGTGTGCTCTTGCCATTGCTCTATCCATGAATCATACCCTTTTATAGAAGTAAAATTGCCTTGCTGAGAAAATTAAATTTATGTTCAAGTGCTATTTCATTTGTGGCACCGAAAATTTATCTATGATAGTTCTCTAGTCCCGATACCTCACTGAAGTACTCCTTGGCCACCTCAGCCATGGCTCAAGCAGGCCCAAGTGCAACTCATGCTGCAACTCCAGAGGTCACAAATGGTAAGCATTGGTGACATCCAAATGGTGCTTAGTCTTCAGATGTGCAGAGTGAATGAGCTGTGGGGCCATGGAAGCCTCCATGTAGATTTCAAAGGATGTCACAGACAACCTGGGGGCCCAGGGAAAGACTTGTCACAGGAGCAAAGTCAATACAGAAAGCCTGCACTAGAGCAATGCCCAGTGGAGTGGTCAAAGTGGTCAGCTTCAGAGACCACATAACTGTAGGTTCACTAGCAAGCAACTCCAGCCTGAGAAAGGTGCAGGCTTCAGAATGCAACTCATGAGAGCTACTGTGTGGACTGAAACCAGTAAAGCCATAGGGATAGGGTTGCCTGAGACCTTAAGGATCAAACCTCCCCACTCCGAGTATGCCCAGACTGCAAGACATAGAATCAAAGGAGATTATTCTCCTGCTTTAAGACTTAATGTTATTTTTCCTATTGGACTTAGGACTTACTTGGGACCAGTTAACCCCTTTTTTTCTTGCCTATTTCTTCCTTTCGAAAGGGAAATGTTTGTCCTATGCCTATTCCACCATATTTTTTTGGAAGTAGATAACTTAATTTCATAGGCTAGTAGCTGGAAAGGAATTTGCCTTGGGACAAATTGTGCCTGGAGTCTCACCAATGTCTGATTCAGATGACCTTGTAAGGTGATGCTTGAGTGAGTTAAGACTTTGAGGCTATTGGAGTGGAATGAATGTTATTTCACATATGAGAAGAATGTAAATTTCGGTGGCCAGAGGTGGAATGCTGTGGTTTGAATTGATCCCCCAAACTTCATGTGCTGAAAACTGAATTTTCAATGCAATAGTGCTGTGATGTGGGACCTTTAAGAAGTGATTAGGTAGGTCACGAGGGCTCTTCCTACCAGCATAGATTGTTGCCATTATGGTAGGAGCATGTTTGTTATTGAAGGAGTGGATTCCTAATAAAAGAATGAGTTTGGACCCCTTCCTTCCTTCGCTTATATGTTCACTCACCATATGATGCCTTCCATCATATTATGATTGTTATAAATAAAGTTTTGGTGCCTCAAAAGAAATAGCACTCAAATATAAAATTTTCTTTGTAATTCTCAGCAAGGCAAGGTACTTCTATAGAAGGGTGTGCCCTTACAGATGGAGCAATGGTGAGTGCACATTTGGACAAGGGAGGGAAAGCAGTTCTTATTCCTGACACACGGGGTCCCTACTGCTGTATCATTCCTCTATTGGCTAGTGTTAGAACACACAGGCTAAACTAATTCTGATTGACTAATTTAAAGAGAGTGACGTGGTGAGTGGTTTGGCGGGAAAAATGGTTATGAAATGAGTCAGGGTGGAGTAGGTAATCAGAAAAGGTTGCTTTACGAAGAAGTTAAGTTTAAAAGTAGAAGGCAAGGAATTGAACATACTGACATATTAATTCTTTGAAGAGAAATTTGGAATTCATATTTAACATGATGCAGTAAGAAGTCCCTTACCAGATGCCAGCCCCTCAGCCTTGGACTTCCAAGCCTCTAGAACTGTGAGAAATAAATCCAGTTTTTAAATAAATTATTCAATGTGTGATATTCTGCTGTAGTGACACAAAATAAACTAAGACAATACTTAAATATGTAGTATAGAGTCCTAAAAATAATGAGACAGGTAAAAACTAATTGTGGAAATTCAAAGGAGAGAAATAGCTACAGTAACTCATAATTTAAGTCACAAAAATAGCAAAAACATTGGGAATCTAAACATCCTTGAATAGGGAACAATTTCTCCAAATCAGTGACTCTCCAGGTATGATCCCTAGAACAGCAGCATCAACATCACCTGGGAACATGTTAGAAATGCAAGTTCTCAAGCTTCATTACAGACCCATTGTTGATTCAGAAAATCCAGTTTGGGGTCAATAATTTGCTTTATAAAGCCCTCCAGCTGACCTTGATGCAGGCTTAAGAACTACCACTCTAAATGAAGGCACTTTCATGTAACTTAACACCATGAGTTATTTAAAAGAATTAGACAGCTCTACAGATATGCCAGGAATATTTTCAGAGTATACTGCTAAGTATAAACAACAATGACAAAGTAGAGCATATAGTTAGGAGTGTGCGTGTGTGTGTGTGTGCGCATGTGTGTTTACAATATGTGTAGTTTTTTTATATGCTTTGTGTATCTCTGAAAGGATGCATATGAAATTCAAAAGGATGGGGAGAGGGTAGGGCTGGAAGAAGGAATTATTTCTAATGTTATACTCCCATTTGCATTTTTAAAATTTGTGCCATACATATGTAATTTCTACTTAAAAATTGATTTTTAAAGCAGAAAATATTATTTTAATGAGTTATGAATCATGATCTGGTCATCAATATCAAATGAAAATGTGTACCTTTATATATGTTGGCACGGGATAGAAACAATTACATTTAATGCCTGCAGAATCATTAAAAATAAAGAAATTCTATACTCAACCTGTTTCAAAGTTTAGCCTTAAAATAGAATGTTTAGGCTGGGCACAGGCTCATGCCTGTAATCCCAGCACTTTGGGAGGCTGAGGTGGACAGATCATGAGGTCAGGAGTTCAAGACTAGCCTGGCCAATATGATGCAACCACGTCTCTACTAAAAATACAAAAAGATTAGCTGCGTGTGGTGGCGTGCGCCTGTAGTCTTAGCTACTCAGGAGGCTGAGGCAGGAGAATCACTTGAATCTGGGAGACGAAGGTTGCAGTGAGCTGAGATTGCGCCACTGCACTCCAGCCTGGTCAACAGAGCAAGACTCCATCTCAAAAAAACAAAAAAAAAACAAAACAAAGAAAAAACAAACAAAAAAAACCCCACCAGAATGTTTAATGTATGTTAGAGTAACATCTACTCATTTCAAAAATAACACTGAGAGAAAAAAAATCATCCATGCACAACTACTGATACATTTCCTCTGAAGAGGTTTTTAAAATTATTATTTTGTTAGAGTTTTTTAAAAATCATTTTTAATTATCATCCACACTATTTTTCTTAGTCACTTAAGGTTATCTTTTCTTTATCATAAAAGTCCAGCGTTTTAAAGAGCTACATAGTAATCTTCAATAGGGGATAATAAGTATTGCCTCTTATTGGACACTTTCTTTGTTTTCACTTTGTTTTTTCTGTTCTAAATAGTGCAGTAGTGAATATTTGATGCCTAAAACTTTCTTTTTTAAGTTTTAGGATTGTTTTGTTTGCATAATAACAGAAGTAAAATTATTAAAACAAAAGATAACAATATTATTATTTGCTTGCAAAAAGGGTAAATTTGATTATTACCTTATATAAATAATATATGAGAGTATTTCCTACTTCCCTCAATTTAGTGTAAGTACAATTTTTTTATTTCTACTATCCAGAATGGAGTTCTAATGAAATCTTTTTAAAATTCTGTAATAAGGAAAAGATGAAGAATACAATTTAACATAAAATGTAATTGTAATGCGTTAACTTACTTGAAGTTCAAAAAGGATAACAAAAAGCTATGCATAGAATTTTAGCAGTAAATGGAGCCAAAGAGTACCTAGCGTAACTCTCATTTTTCTTCATAAGAAGACTAAGATACCAGTGAAAATTAGTTACCTAAATTCAAGCAGTTTATTATCTGTTGGGGGAACCCACCCCCAATAATTCAACGTTATTTCACATAGGTTCTTTTCTATTTCCCTAAATGTCCACCGGTCTGAGAAATAAAGGGAAAGAGTACAAAAGAGAGAAATTTTAAAGCTGGGTATCTGGGGGAGACATCACATGTCAGCAGGTTCCGTGATGCCAGCAAAGTTTTTATTTGTGATTTTCAAAAGGGGAGGGAGTGTACGAATAGTGTGTGGGTCACGGAGATCACATGCTTCACAAGGTAATAAACTATTACAAGGCAAATGGAGGCAGGGCGAGATCACAGGACTGGGGCAAAATTAAAATTGCTAATGAAGTTTCGGGCATGCATTGTCATTGATAACATCTTATCAGGAGACAGGGTTTGAGAGCAGACAACTGGTCTGACCAAAATTTATTAGGTGAGAATTTCCTTGTCCTAATAGGCCTGGGAGTGCTACGGGAGACCGGGGCTTATTTCATCCCTTGTCCACAATTGTAAAAGACAGACGTCCCCAGAGTGGCATGGCCATTTTAGAGACCTCCCCCTGGAAACGCATTCTCTTTCTCAGGGATTTTCCTTCCTGAGAAAAATAATTCAGCGATATTTCTCCTATTTGCTTTTGAAAGAAGAAAAATATGGCACTGTTCCACCCAGCTCTCAGGCAGCCAGACTTAATGGTTATCTCCCTTGTTCCCTGAACATCGCTGTTATCCTGTTCTTTTTTCAAGGTGCCCAGATTTCATATTGTTTAAACAATTTGTGCAGTTAACACAATCATCACAGGGTCCTGAGGCGACATACATCCTCAGCTTACGAAGATGACAGGATTAAGAGATTAAAGACAGGCATAGGAAATCACAAGAGTATTGATTGGGGAAGTGAAAAATGTCCATGAAATCTTCAAAATTTATGTTCAGAGATTTCAGTAAAGACAAGCGTAAGAAATTATGAAAGTATTAATTTGGGGATCTAATAAAAGTCCATGAAATCTTCACAATTTATGCTCTTCTGCCATGACTTCAGCCAGTCCTTCCGTTCGGGGTCCCTGACTTCCTGTAACAATTATCCAATATAATTTCCATATTTGAAGGTAATTTGATACCTGTTTACATACATTTTACATCAGTATTACTAACAAATTCATACATTATTTTATTGTCTAGTCCTCAGAAAATTTGAAACTAGTAAAACATATGAAATCTTGAACAATCAAGGACAGATAATTTATTTTGCAGAAGAGAGAAATAATTGCTTCCTTCGACACCTTTGTGGATTTTCAAGGCCTTTTACTATTACAATTTATGATAATGTAGGTAGAGATGTACTTGCTCTGCATAAGGCTCTGAAATGTAGCTGCTGCTGGAGTAGATGCTGCCTACAAAAGGTAAGTAAATATTTATACCATCATATCAAAAAAGCCTTGGTACTGGACAGTATGATAAAGTCTAAACATTGGGATTGGCTGCAAAGGATTTTCTGGAATGAAAGATGTCAGAGAGATCACTGAATTTTTATACCATCTACCTAAAGGCTGAGAATCATGCACAACATTGCAAATTTTTTCTAGGCAATGAAGGTCATAAGATCTTTAGATGTTTTCTGTTCTAAACGATCTAAGCATCCATCCAAGGCTTTTTGTGACCTAAGAAATCTTTGCCTGTTGCAAAGTGACAAAGACTCTAAATCATGTTTCCTATAGAAACTCTATATTTAAATCTACCTCCATTTTTAGTTAATTTTTGTATTCATGTGAGGAAAGTGTTGAGAACCATTTTTCCCACTTTAATATTTAGTTGTTTAAACACCATTATTTGTAAAAGACTATTCTTTTTCTACTGGATTGTTTTGGCAACATTTCTGAAAATGAATTGCCAATGTGTATGTTTACCTATTTCTAGAGTCTACTCTCTTCTATGATTCTACCTATGTGCATACATACAAATATATATACACATGCAGAGCTAAGATCATAAGGACAATATAATATTGGCATAATGCCAGCTATCGAGTCAGTCTTAATATCGGGTAGTACAAACCTTCTTATTTTGTTTTGCTTTTGTCAAACCTTTTTTGGCTCTCTTAGTTCCTTCACATTTTTATATAAATTTTACAAAAAAAAAAAAAAAAAAAAACCTCTCATATTCAAAAATCCTGCTGAGATACTGAGGGTATTTAATCAATGGATTAATTTGAAAAGAACTGATATCTTATTAATATTGAATCTTCTGCTCAATGACTATGGTTTATTTCTCCTTCTAGTTAGATCTTCTTTAATAACTCCCAGTGATAGTCATTTTCAGTACTTAGGTCTTACAAATATTGTATTACAAATAAATTTAATTATTGTATGTTTCCAGATACAATTATAAATGTTACTTTTTATTTAAACTTTACATTTTTGTCACTTTTATATAGTATATTGTATATAGAAAATTATTGCTCTGTGTATACTTACACTTTACTCTGACCTTGCTAAAACTTACTTATAAATTCTAGTAGCTTTTTGGTGGATTCCCTAAAGTTTCCTACAATTATAGATATGAAAATATAGATTTTACTTCTTCCTTTCTAATCTGTATGCTTTTTATTTGTATGTATACATTTATGAATGTATGTATTTATTGTCTGGATTCTGGAAATCTCAGAAACATTTTATTCTTGTCACGTGTTTCACTACATCTACTTATATTTTGAGGCTTGAGGCTTTGTTTTTCCATCTAATTTTGCCATTTAATTTTGTCTAAAGAATTTGACAGTAGTTTTGTTTTGTTTTGCTAGCATACTTGTTCTGTCCTTTTCCATGATAGTTTTTGGGGGGATTTATAAGCCATACCACCATTATCATCAGATTGACTTAGCAGTCTTCCTTTGCCTTTTAATGGTTAATACTTACATATGGTAAGGAAAAGAAAAGGAAAAGAAGGAAAGGAAGGAAAGAAGGAAGGAAGGAGAAAGGAAGGAGAAAGAAAAAGAAAGAAAGAAAGAAAGAAAGAAAGAAAGAAAGAAAGAAAGAAAGAAA